TGAAAATCACTCGACTTCCTCGATTCAAATGAATGCCAAACACAAACAAATAGACCGATCTGGCTGTAACTTGGTGTGTGTTCCTCCAAGAGATGCTACTAACTAAATCTAACCTTGATACGCGCCAGTAGTGTCATCTCTCTGACTTTGCACGGACTTTTCAAACGACCCTCGTATAAATATGTAGCGACACGTGCGCGCGGCGTCGCCCTCGGTGTAGAGTTTCTGTTTGGCTTTCTCTATATTTTTTTTCCTCCGTCTTTTGTCACCGTAACTCGGTTTATCTTTTGTTTATTTCTCGAATCGGGTACGCCTGGAGCTTTTTCGAAACAAAGGAGGCTCGCGTGTGATGCCCGAGGAACCGCGCAAGAATCTCGAGAAGAGTCAGTCATATTTTACTTGTTGGCTCGAACGCACCACGCTTTCGACTTCTGTCTAACGAATAAAGTACAAGTGTCCGCGCCAACCGAGTCACAGTTAATACCGAACCATACCTTCACCCACAAATATAAAAATTAGGTAATAAACTATTTATTTATTATTGCCAATGATTTATTGTTGAACAAGAATCATTTATGAATTATATAGAAACATAATTTTATTTACTGTTATTATCAAATCTATATCTCCTTTTATTTTTAGAATAATTCCTGTTGTAGAGAATACTCGCTCTGAGTTGTATAGAAACAATAAAAACTTGTTAGCCCACTTTTTAGCCCACTTTTTAGCCCACGACAAAAACAGATATTTTGCAGCATTAATTTTCCAATATTTCAAAGGATTTAGGTTTCTCTTAAGATATACATCTGAGATATACGAGTCTATCTGGACATTTGAAGAAGGTTCGTCATTGAGCTTTAAGTATGTACATCATTATCAAAAAAAGCTCAAAAATAATAATTTCCATCATTGTGTGTGAAAGTATTTTCAACTATAATTCGTCTCTGATGTATTTTTACCCTGTTGAAAATTCTTGTAAGTGTTACGTTCAGCGGACTCCCACGACTCTTTTCTTTCGTGGAGATCTGGAATTCGTTGAAATACTAAAATTTTTTTTTCTTTTTTTTCCACACTAAAAACTAAAATGAGGAATCCGGTATCTCCTCGTGAATGTCGTTCCGAGATAGATTAAATTAATAGTAAATATGTATTGAAAGCGTAAGACCGCCAAGATTAACGGTCAAGTCGCGGACGATTTTCGCGAATTCATGATTACAAAATCCAAGAAGAGGCACGCGACGTTCAGGGGTACATTCTGAGTGGTCTTGTGGCGACGCTGCATGCGCGCCTTCACGGCACGTGCGTTTTCCCATAAGTTATAAGATCGTAAAATTTTGGAGGACACTTTTCCACACTACAGACTCCTGTCAACATCCTTTCCTCCCCCAAGATCTTGACCAATCCGAGAGCAAAGAAAAATCCTACTACTAGTTAACGAAATCTATTCCACCAATCCGAATCTGAGTAATCGGGGGCGATTAGTATAAAAATCGCGGTTCCGCGGCCCTCGGTATGATTTTTCTTTGAGTTTTGGGAGGCTATAGTTGTCACGACATTTGAAAGGGTTCATTTTACTCTCGAAACCCTTTTTCTCCAGTAGAGTCAGTGCTAAAGAAATATCATCAATCTTGTACATCCTGGCCGGAGGACCTCCAACGATGAGATTTTCTGTTGGTAATTTATACTGAGCAACAAGATTAACGCAGCACCTGTTCACTCTGCAAAAATAGGCAAATTTCAAGATACAATAACTTCGTCAAAAATTGTCGTATCGGGATGTTTAAAAAAGCATTTTACAGGTAGAAACCTCTACTTTTCGGATCGCTACTTAAAAAAACGGTCTCATGGAGATTTTATGAAGTTATACAAACATAAATAAAGATATATCAGACCTCAAAATTTTTCATGAAATTTGCGAAGCTCCACGGAGTGGAATAAAAATTGTATACAAATGCGATTTATATCATTCGAAATAGCAAATCTTTACCTTTAAAATCGCATTTGTATACAATTTTTAATCCACTCCGTGAAATTCCGCAAATTTCGTAAAAAATTTTGAAGATATATCTTTATTTATGTTTGTGTAACTTCATAAAATCTCCATGAGACCGTTTTTTTAAGTAGCGATCCGAAAAGTAGAGGTTTCTACCTGTAAAATGCTTTTTTGAACATCCCGATACGACAATTTTTGACGAAGTTATTGTATCTTGAAATTTGCCTATTTTTGCAGAATGAACAGGTGTTGCGTTAATTTTGTTGCCCAGTGTATTTCAATATTTCATTTTGTTTTTTTTTATTATTTATTTGTTTTTATTTTATTTTTGTTCTTTTCTTTCTTTCTTTCTCCCTTTTTAACCTCCTGTGTACAAGAAAATAAAAACATTGCAGTCCGTTCACGTTATAATTTCAATCTGTCGCCGTCGCCTTACGATAATTATTCGCCCCCTGTCGACCAGTCGTTCGTCCGCTAACACTATCATCATTCGAGGAAAATCAGGCCGAACCCTTTCAAATCCATTCACCAAAACTTCCTTCTCTTTTTACTCTTTCGCTATTCTCTCCGTTACTTCTCCCTTCTGCCACACGATATTTTCCACACACACTCAAAAATATGGTACATAAATACGTGCGTATATATATAATACTTTAGAATAGAGAATCAAAAATTGTATTTCTTTTTTTACTATTTGCTCAAAAGATGTATCACCGGATATTGCCTTTTATTATATTATTATTAAATTAATTTCTCGATCATTATTTATTTAAATATAACTTCTCCTTATATTTGTTAGTTTTCCCGATTGCACTTCGCCCTCTCCCCGATCACTTGAAAAGTTCCATGACCGAAAATCAGGGCATACGGCCGTACTGGCACATCTGGCGTTAAAGTGCGCCCTCCCGGCACACTGACCTAGTGTTTGGGTCTTTTAAATTAAAAGTACATCCAACTCGTGTGTCCGTTTAGTGGAACACGAGTTGAGGTTCCACTTCGTCCTTCATTCAACCTCCGACTCGTTAGGAGCTTCAGAACGAAGCGAAGTGCCTCCCGATTTGCGTCGGTCCTTCCCCACAGCTCCCTTGCGGTCCGAAGCCTTGACACAACCAAATTGATCTAATAATTCGGTTTCTGTTGCGTTCAGCTCGATGCATGCGGAGTTTGGACGTAACACTTTCGTTTCATGCAAAATGCGACAAATGAGTATAATTTTATTAAAATTGAAAGTGAGAGGCGTCTTCTAAATAATTATCCAAAAATTTATGAGTAATAAAATGGTAAATATATATAAATAATAGCAAGCCTACATATAAAAACATTTCGTGTCATCATTATTTTTAATTAAGAATTTTTTTAATGGAATTTATTTTCATCACACGGGTCTAATACTTACATGTAAACAATATGGGACGCCATTTTTATCTTGCACTAAAACATTTTTTATTCCTTGTCTGCACGCTTACCCTTATCAGTTCTGAATTGCACTAGTTTAATTTAGTTAAATTCTAGTGCAATCCTCGTGCAAGAACAGAAAACAAACCTATAGAATAGGAGAGCCAGCTAAGAATGCGTCAGCGAATAAAAAGAAACAAAAAACAAAATGGATATCAGATTTTTTGTTTAATCGCGTATGCTATTGATTTTCACTATTAGGTGAGGAGAACAATATATCGATATCGCCCCACTCAGCTTTCAAAATTCTATGCGCAGCAATTAGACAAAGATATAGATGGCCATCCCGTATTCTTTCCTTTCCTACTGTTTAACATTTCCAGTTACAGGGGCCGCCATGCCTTGCCTATTCTATATATATATATATATATATA